CCGTGAACTTAGCTTTGTTGGTAATTATGACCTGACAAGGCCACTTGTCAATTTAATTGTGAGTGACCCAAGAGGGCAGAAGAAGCAGTGTTTTTTGGCTTGTCTTAGCTTTTGTTAGACTTCAAGACTAGAGCCACCCAGCACTCGTGAATCTAGAAAGATGCGTGTTATTTTTCTTTGTCATTATCACTTGCGCATATTTTAGTTATTTAATTTTTTTAGCATGCCATTCTGAACTATGGTCAGTTAATTTTTTTTCATAGAGGCTCTGACATGTGAGGACTGTCTCATTTATTTCAAATGGTACTATTTCATTGTGGTAATTATTAAATTGGTGGTAATTATTAACTTTGGCTTTTATACTTGAAATAGACGAAGGTAAACCACTTGAACAAGATTCAGAAGAATCTATGTTTTATTGGCAACAAAAGATGTTCTCTCAGGTTTGTACTATTAGTGGCAATTAATAATGGGCTAAATGGCTTGACTAAGACCTAACTTTCTTCATCCTGTACAATCAGTTTTTTTTTTGCTGCCGTAGATGTATACACATTTCAAATGATGGGTTGAGTTTTTAAAATGACAAATACCTTATAACTTAGTCCTACATGAATTTAAATTTACTCATTTTCTTGTTCCAAACCATTAGAGAGAGATGGAACTCTATGGAGATCTAACCAATTGTTTTGGACCTCTGGAGCAGAAGTATCATGCAGAAATAATAAAGCTACGGTATGTTAATCAAGATATAGGGGAAGGTTTGTTTTCTGTAACCTAAATTACCAAATGAAATGTTGTTACAGGTGTTTGGGTGGTGGTATAATTCTCCTAACTAGTGTTAAATGAAGTGACTTAAGCCTTTTGGTCCCCTGAGGAACATAGGGCCGCTACAACACCTCCAACGCACTTGGTTCTGTGAGGTCCTCCTCAGCTGTGCCCATGTTGTTGCGATGGCCTTCACCTCTGCGTCAGTGCTCCTGTGCCGTCTGTTTCAGTCTTCCTACTTTTCTCTTTCCTTGTGAATTCCAGTCAAGGGCTTGCTTGGTGACATTTGAGGGGGATTTCCTGAGTGTGTGGCTAATCCACCCCCATTTCCTTTTTCTGATCTCCACTTTGATAGGGCTTTGACCAGTCTTGTCCTAGAGGTCGGCGTTGAAAAGGATGTCTGGCCATCTGATGTTGACGATGTTTCTCAGACATCTGTTCATAAAGGTCTGCAGCTTGTGGGTGTTTGACTTGGTAGTTCTCCATGTTTCAGAGCCATACAGTAAGACAGACTTGATGTTGGTGTGGAAGGTTCTGATCTTGTTGTGGAGGGAGAGGGCTGAAGAATTCCAAATGGGGCAGAGGGTGTTGAATTCATGTCTGGCCTTGTTGATCCGGTTCTTGATGTCTTGTCTGTTCCTTCCATCTTTGTTGACGACGCTGCCCAGGTAGACAAACTTCTCCACCTCATTCAGGTCTTTGTTGTGGAGTGTGATGGGGTCTTGTTTCTTGTTGTTTATTCGCATCACCTCTGCCTTCTTGATGTTAATATTGAGGCCCGTCTTCTCAGCTTCTTCGGCTAGACAGGACAGCTTCTCCTGTGCATCCTGATGTCTGTGTGAGAGGAGGCTGATGTCGTCAGTGAAGTCTAGGTCTTCCAGCTCTTTGGTGAAAGTCCACTGGATGCTGCTCTTCTTGTCTGATGTTGTCTGCTTCATAATCCAGTCGACTACCAGAAAGAACATGGTCAGTGATATTAAGCAGCCTTGACAAACACTGCTCAGTACCTGGAATATGTCTGTCAACTTCCCCTCTTGAATGACTTGGCAGAATGGCAGTTGCTGTATGATGGAAATGAACTTGGGGGGAAGCCGTAGTGTTGCATGAGTCTCCAGATGATGTCTTGATTCAGACTTTCGAATGCCTTTTGGAAGTCAGCGAATACTGAGTACTGTGGGGTCTGCCATTCTAGCGACTGCTCGATGATAATTGTGTAGTTCCAGAAAATATATATACTCCCCACAGAAGGTCATTGGAAATTCCGAGGGGGAGGGGGGTTCCAAAGGCAGTAATTTCTGAGGGGTTGGGGGGGTTTCACGGGAAGCTATTCTTCCAAAGGGTGACCCATTTGATTCGAAGCACATACTTACGTTACGTTGTTTTGAAACAAAAATAATTGCTACTTACCATTGCGATGAGGTTAACATCAAAAGATTTTATTTTTCTGTTTCCTCTTTAAGTTAGCTAGTGCCTCAACCTCCAGAAGAACGAGTCCGGTTGGTGTGTAATTTTGAAACTCAAAATGGCAGACGAACAAGACTCGTCACCAGATTCCCAGTTTCATCTGACACGTTATTGTGTTTTTGACTTCTGTTTAGACCATGCCCAAAATAGGATTCACTTTTTCTTGTTTTTCGCTTAGTACGGATGATTAATGTACTATTAAAATTAAGCTGATTTGATCAGACTTGTTTAAGTTCTGCTGTTCTTGCCCATTATAAACCTAAAAATTCTATCACTGAGTGTCGGCTTCAATAAGAGACTAAAATGCATTCACCAATGCCAGTTGGTTATGAACTATTTATTTATTTATTTATTTATTTAAGGATTTGTACCAAGTACTGGAGCAGAAACAATAGGATATGGGTCCCCTACGAGGTTTAAGCTCCAACAAACCCACCCATCCCACCCCAGGGGAGGACATCCATCACACAGTAATCTCNCCGACTTTGTTTAGTTTGGGTTCAAGCAAGTTAATCATCATTCTCTTAAGAAAGTGATTTGTAATAATATTTCCAGAGGGATATTTCAAAATAATGGAAATTGCAAGGGGGAGGGGAGTCCTTGACTACCCCTCTGGAATGGAAATTCCTGGGGGAAGGAGGGTCCTAAACAGAAAACCCTCCATGGGGGAGGTATGGATATTTTCTGGAACTACACATTTGCAGTGTGGCAATGTGGTCTGTACAGGATCTGTCTTGGTAAAAACCTGCCTGCTCCTCTCGTAGAATTTTGTCAAGGGCCTTCTTGAGTCTCTCCAGGATTATTCTTGTCAGGATCTTGCTTGGGATGGAGAGCAGCATGATACCACGCCAGTTGTTGCGTGATGACAGGTCCCCTTTCTTCTAGTCATCTGGGATCTGCTAGTTCTTCCAGATCTGCATCAGGAGTGGATGGATTATCTCTGTGGTGGTCTGGATGTCCGCCTTTAGTGCTTCTGGTGGAATGCCATCTGGGCCTGCTGCCTTGCCTGACTTCAAGGACTTGATGGCTTTGCTGACCTCAGCCTTGGTTGGTGGATTGATGCTCACTGCTAGCTGGTTTGCTGCTGGTGGGATGTCAGCTGGGACTTGAGGTGGGGGTCTGTTGAGAATCTCTTGGAAGTGTTCTGCCCATCTTACTCTCTGTTTTGCTTCATCTGTGGTGGTCTCACCATTTTTGTCTTTCACTGGTCTTGATGGGGCCTTTTTCTTCCCTGACAGTGTTCTTGTGATATCATCCAGCCTCTTCATATCTCTTTTGCCAGCTGCTGTTTCTGCTTCTTCTATGAGGTCATGTATGAAGCTCCTCTTGTCCACTCTGGTGCTTTTCTTGACCTGTCGGTTCAACTCTCGGTACTGGGCCTATAGATCTTGCTTCCATTGCAGGTCTTGGGTATGGTTGGTGTCGTTCTTCAGCTGTTTCCTCTCGTTGATGAGGGTCCAGGTATTGGCTGACAGCCACTCTAAATAAAGTACATGGTTGAAATTTTCAGTTGCTGTTTTGTAGGGTGTATGAAAGTTGTCAACTGATAGCATTTCAGTTATTTGCAGTTCAGAGGCTAGTTGTTTTAGATCTCAGTAGCACTCTCCCAGGAATGATGAAACTTGATAAACTGATTCCTCATTTAATGTTTGAATTGTATATTAAAACAGAACTAACTCATGTAGGAGTTTTATGCTACTATGAGACCTGTTGTAAACAAAATGTAAACAATGAAGCCTTCTGTAAACTAATCAAGAATATTATATTACATAACCCTGGCATATCGCTTACTTGACTTATCTTGGTACTATTTTTTATTATTTTTTATGAAGGGAAAAAGGTGGAAGACCAAATAGAAGACTTTTCTCATATGTTGATTGTGATAGTTATGTGAATGTGGATGAGGTAGGTTAGAAATCACAATCCTTTTTTGTGGCTACTGCCTCCTATATGAGGCAAGCATAGTATAATAGCATAGGATTTACTTAGTTGCAGTGCTTTGTAGGTTCACTTTGGTTTACTGCACCATGCACCTCAAAATTTATCCTTTACTTTGTTCTGAAAAGACTTGAGTTGTATCAAATTGACTTGTATGAAATTATCTTTCTTGATGTGACTCTATTGCAACTCTTTGATTGATTAGAAGTCAATCGAGTTTGGCTGATGGAATCACTAAACAGTTTGTAATACATTAGCGAAACAAACTAGGAGATGCTACTAATGTGACCTTAGATATTGGCAAAACAACCTAAGACATAAGTAAACTGGTCATTAG